CTTTGTTTGGGGTTTGGAGGTGCCCAGATGAGGCCCAGCTGTGAAGCAATGCAAGCTGCTGTGGGGACTTGGGTCTTCTTTTGGATGTTCTGGGTCTCTCTGACCCAGCTGCAATTTGTTAGGTAATTTTAGATTGCAAAGGGCCAGACCATTCATATGCAAAAGCCTCTGCGCACAGCTTGGGTGGGGCAGGGTCTCAGGGAATCAATAGGGTGGAGCAAACAGTTATGGCTAATCCTGAGCCCTGCCCTAAGAGGCCCCAGGTCTGTAATCTGCAAGCACTTCTGAGAGAAAGTCGCCCTCGAGTTTCACCTGATGCCAGACAGTCCAGTATCTCCCCTTATGAGTCTGGGTCCCCAGAGACTCGCCCGGAACTGGAGTTCAGGGCCATCAGGAGCTTATGACTCCCTCCTGATTGAAAAAGACATCCGCGTCCTCAGTTGCCAACCCTTTCTGTGTGCGCCTCTGTACCTCTGAAGTTTACTTCTGCACCTCCTCTGAGTCTCAGTGTGCTTTTCTCATTCCTTCTAGTTGTAGAATTTCCACTCAGCCAGCCTTCCTGTGGTTCTGGATGATGTCCCTTTTGTCTTTCAGTTGTATTTTTGAAGTGGTTGTGCGAGGCAGCAATATCCGGTGTTTACCTATGCCCCCCATCTTGGTTTCTCTCCTTACTGCGTTTCTTAGATAAAGGTGGTAAACTTTGCATACCTTACCTTGCTTTTAACAACATATTTTGGTGCCACTCTTCATAGTTGCATATGTAGATTGCAAGAGAAATAATTTTTTTTTCCTTTTGTAAAGCACCATGGTGCTACAGTTTACTTAGCCAGTTTCCTTTTGAACTGGCTAAATAATTTGGGTTATTTCCTATTTTTCTCTGTGTTATCTGTAGGATAGATTTCTGAAAGGGAGATTGCTGTGTCAAAAGGTAAATGCGTATAACATTCGGCAGATGTTGTAAATCACCTTCTTTTGGAGTTTTACTATTTTTGCTTCCTACCTGTCATGTAAAAAATGTGGTGTCATTTTTTTTTCTTTTGCTAACTTGTTAATTATATATCCTTATATACTTCTTTTAGTAGTTACCCTAGAGATGATAATTCATATCCTTGGTTTATATAGTCTACCATATATAGCCTATCATATACAGACAGTTTAAGAAGCTTACGAAAATTTAACACTTCCTGCAATCCTTAATGCTATTGTTTCCATTTGTTTTACATATACATGTGTCATAAACACAATAAGACATAATTGTTATTTTAGAACATCCATATTCTTTTATGTTTGCCAATATATGTGCCATTTTAATTCCTTCCTGCATTTTTTTTCTTATAAAATTTGCTTCCCTTTAGCTTGAATAATTTTTTTTCCTTGTAGTGAATGATTACTAGTAATAATTTCTCTTTGCATTTGTTTGTATTTCTCAAAGATATTTCCCCCAGTTGTAAAATCTTCAGCACTTGTAATGTCATCTGGTTTCTGTTTCAAAGTCTTACTGCTGTCCTTCCAAGGCAATGTCCTTTTCCTCTGGCTTTTAAGATTTGCTTTTTCAAAACGTGATTAATTTTTAATAGTTTGACTATATTAGGTCTATGTGATATTGTTTTCATTTTCATTTGCTTGGGTTTCACTTAACCTTTGAGTCTCTGAGTTTTTATCTTTCATCAGTTTTGGAAAATTCTTTGCCATCATCTTGTCAAATATTTCTCCTATCTCACTATCTCTTCAAATATTCTCCTTCATTCCTTCTGGGAGTATCAAAATCATACATATATTCAAACTTGGACTCACTCAACATGTCTCTTCACTCCATTTTATTGTTGCTTTTATAAGAATTTTTTTCTTTTACCCAGTTTGAAAAGTTTCTATTGGCCAGCTTTCAAATTCACCAATTCTTTTTTCTGCTGTCTTTAATCTTCTTGGAAACCTACCAGTGAGTTTTAAATTTTTTATATTATGTTTTTTAGTTTTAAAAAGTTAAATGATTTTTATTATAGATTCTAATTATGTTACTCATTTTACCTATCTTTTCTTATATTTTCTGTAAAAGGCCAGATAGTAAATCTATTTGCCTTTGTAGACCATAGAGTCTCTGTTGCAACTCTTCGGCTCTGACACTGTGTCATGAAAGCAGACACAGATAGTACGTAAACAGATTTGCATGGCTCTATTCCTATACAACTTTATTTCTGGATGCTGAAATTCATATTCATTTAATTTCACATGTCACAAAATATTACTCTTAAACTTTTCAGCTATTTAAAAATGCATAAATCATTTTTAGTTCATAAGCTTTACAAAAACGAGCAGGAAGCAGAATATGGCTCTTTATGGAAAATAATTTGCCAACCAACCCTTGATCTGTGATAATGTTTCCAAAGTGTGGTCCATAGACTCCTGAGTGGTTCCTGAGACTCTTAACATTTATTTTTAATTTTATTTGATATTCAGTATTATTTTAGTTTCAGGTGTACAGCATGGTGGTTATATACATTTATGTAACTTGCAAAGTGATTCTTCTGATTAGTCTTGGCATCCACCTGACACCATATATAGTTATTATGATATTATCGACTATATTCCCTAAACTCTGTACTTTACATACCTAGAACTATTTTGTAACTGCCAATTTGTATTTCTTAATCTCTTCACCTTTTTTATCCAGCCTCTCAACCTCCCTACTACCTGGCAACTATCAGTTTGTTCTCTGTTTTTAAGAGGTTATTTCTGCTTTCTTCATTTTTTTGGGGGGGGCAGATTCCACATAAAAGTCAAATCATACGGTATTTATCTTTCTCTAACTTATTTCACTTAGCATAATATCCTCTGGGGGATATTGATGATGATTTTTTTTAATATATTTTATTGATTTTTTTACAGAGATGAAGGGAGAGGAATAGAGAGCCAGAAACATCGATGAGAGAGAAACATTGATCAGCTGCCTCCTGCACACCTCCTACCAGGGATGTGCCAGCAGCAAAGATACATGCCCTTGACCAGAATTGAACCTGGGACCCTTCAGTCCGCAGGCCAACGCTCTATCCACTGAGCCAAACCGGTCAGGGCTTGATGATTTTGATCATGCCAAAATGATCTATGACCTTAAAATTGCTAACCTCAATGTTTATAAGATATCCAGTGGCATATGTGTCAGTTTGGGTTTTTTCAGATAGTTGTGCTATTGGGGCATACTTTATATGAACTATTTCATTCTTTAAAAATGAATGTAGGCACAACTGAGGATTTTTTGTTTTCACTAGTTACATTCCCCTCATTTTGTTTTTCTTTCCACATTATTTCAACACAGAAATTAGCCTGCTCTAACTAGCACTGATATTATTTTGAAATTTTAATGATGGTATTTCTTTGAAGTTGGCTTTCTTGCAATATATTTTTAGATGGACTCTTAAGACAGAAATATATACATAACTGTGAAGTCACTTTAAGGCATAGTAAATTCAACCATTTTAATTACCTTGAATTACCAGCAGCTTGTCTTAACCCTGATATAGACTTATTTTTCATTTGGGAGGCAAAGAAGATAAGCAGCCAGCTACCATGTAGAGTCACATCTTTTACCTAATAATAATTTTCTTAAATGTTTTAAAAAAAATTTTTTTTCCCTCTGTGAAGGTTCTAAGGCGCAGCAGCTTCTGCAAGGACTCCAAGCAAGTGATGAAAGCCAGCAACTCCAGGCAGTTATTGAAATGTGTCAATTACTGGTCATGGGAAATGAGGAGACACTGGGAGGGTTTCCTGTCAAGAGTGTCGTTCCAGCTTTGGTAAGATAGTTTTCCCCTTGTTTTACCTCAGTTGTCCTTTATGCTTCCAGTATTTTACTGAAAGTATGATTATTATCATTATAAATTTTAAAACACAACAGAATTAAGAGTCAGTAGAGTGTGGCTTAGTGCTTTTATTTCATGCTTACAGATATTGTGAGTGATAGCTAATGATGTTTGGTAAATTTTCTTGATAATTAAATGACTACCTTTAAATTGTTGGCCTCTTGACTTACTATACCAAAATTTACATGCTTTCTTTTATATCCCTGTGATACATGAGGCAATAACAAGCAGTTCACTTGTGGATTGTCTTTGTGGACCGTACAGGTTTCACGTTTGATGATTGTGTGCATGGCAGAACCCTCAAGCCAGAACATTACATGGATCCTTCTAGTTTAAAAAGTTTTTTGTTAAGCAAAACCAAAAAAAAAACAAAAAACAATACCCACTATAGAAAAACAATTTTTAAAAATCTTGTAATAATTTTCAACACAATTATGAGTTGATATTTAGATATATTAAACTTAATTGCTTAATCTTTTAGTGTGAAAAAGGAAGGGATAATCTCTTGAGCATAATGTCTTTTAAATGGTAGCTTGGTAAATTTTCTTAGTCCAAGATTAAGGAAGTTGCCTATAATTTAAATCTGAATAAAGAACTAACAAAGAGTAAAATGAACATCATGAATACATTCATAGCATATTGGAAGTTAAAAATATGTAAGTTTTTTTTACATATCTAATAATGTTGACAAACATGAAATTCTGGTTGACATATCAGATTGTTCCATTTGGTTACGTTATCAAATTATGGGTAAAGCTGAGTGTTAAGGAGAGAGCTGAGTGAAGACCAGTCTAAGGTGACATGATGTTTTTTGTTGTTGTTTTTTGTTTTGCCTATTTTTAGTTGTTGGGTGACTGGGCTCTGGCCAGAGCTTATAAAGATTAATTTTTTTGCCTGTAGCCAGTCATATCAGGATAAATAAAAGCTAACATTTAAATCTTACCAGTTCCCCTCTAATAAAGCTTTGCATGTTGATTCCTGAATATTTCAAAAAAAAAACAAACAGTATTATTAGCCTTTGTACTTCTTTTTACATTTGGCCTATGCTAATTTTCATTCTCAAATTACAGATTTCTTCAGTAGCTGGCTTCTGTTTCCCAAATTAAACTTTCTTGTTTTGTCGTTGTTCATTAAAAAATACATAGCAACAAAGAACTAGGTTTACCTTTTACTGTCTGCTGTTAAAAATGCAGTTTTTATTAGTTAAAGAAGCTATAAAATCTAGGCAGAAATGTTGACACAGTCAACTTTACTTAATTTGTTAACTCTTGATTAGATTTAAATGCTTACTAGACCTATATGAGTCAGCTCATGCTATTAAGTCAGCTCATGCTATTAAGAATGACTGTTGTTAATGAGTTGTCCAGATTTATCTTTTATCACAGTTGAATATTGTGAATATATATTTATATATTGTGAATACTGTGTGTGTGTATATATATAACATATTGGAAGTTAAAAATATATATTTTTATATAGTATATAATAATGTGTATACACACACACACACACACACATTATCATGCACTTGTGAAGCTGTATTTCATTTTTTGGTGGAATAGAATAAATCTATAGTAATTCTCCCCAAACATGGTCAACGCAACTTAAATATTGGAGAATTTATTACTTTTTCTGTTAATGTGACAGCCTCTTTCAATTTAGAGTATTTTAAGTGACTGATTGATTATAGGTGATTTGAGACATAGAGTGTGCTGATAACCCCTGAAATGGAGTGGGTGCTTTATAAAAAGTTGTCAGAACCTCTGGTGTGTGTGTGTATTTCTGTGCCTAGTGTAATTGAGATCTGAAAAGTCACTCTTATTAAATGATTATTGTATTAGAATATGTGATGTCTGTTGTTATAGTTATGCATGTATTTGAAGGGTACTTTATAGTTTAAATTCAGTACATTTAAGACTTTCTATTGAACTAGACAACAATGAATGATCTGTTTCCACAAGTGGGAAATTTTTTGGTAGCTTGGCTGCTTCGGGAGAATAAGAGTATATGCACCTAGCAGTTTTGTATTCTCTCCTTTGAAAAATGTGGTTGAAATCTCCTTAAAGTCTTTTCCACAAGAGAAACTAAAATAAAAATCATATATTTAGACTCCTTCATGCATTTGTAGAATAAATATATTAATTTATGTTTTAATTAGTGCATAGTTTCTGATAATGATCAATATTGTGTTTAAACCCTAGAGTTTAAGCTATGGTCCTGAATCTGTACTGGCAATTTTTATTTAACAAATGTCATGCTGCCTCTTGCATGCCCCACACTGGGGATCAAGCCAGCAACCCGGGGCATGTGCCCTGACAGGGAATTAAACTCTGATCTCCTGGTTCATAGGTTGATGCTCAACCATTGAGCAACACCAGCTGGTCTGCATGCTATGTTTTTAACTTGATATTATTTTTATATGGTAAAAGTCTTGAGTAATACTTTTCTATTTCAGTTGAAGTGTAGAGGAAGCAATACTTCCTCTAGGACTTTTCTCTAAGAATATAGATAGCTTCTAATACTTTGTCATAAAATCTTTTAACAGATAACATTATTGCAGATGGAGCATAATTTTGATATTGTAAGTATGTCCTTAATTTTTAAAAATACTTCAAATTTTGTATTTTGAGATGGTTTTTGTTTGTTTTGTTTAGTAAAAAATGCCTTCTTGTTTTCAAGATGAACCATGCTTGTCGAGCCTTAACATACATGATGGAAGCCCTTCCTCGATCATCTGCTGTTGTCGTAGATGCAATTCCTGTCTTTTTAGAAAAGGTAATCCTACTTTTGCCCAATTTGTTCAAAAGCAGGGGTAGAGGATTCAAATTGAGGACTCATGACTTCTGAATTCTAAAGTAGTATCTCACATTGTGAAACCACAGTTTGTATTCATTATCTAGCTAAAATATATTTTTAGCTAAGATTCCAAAAAAGCATTTCAAAGCAGTATTTTAAAGTAGACAAACTGCCTTGCTCAAGGTCATAAAATGAGTCAGTGGAGAAAGGGGATATTTTTTCATATGTGGTAGGTTGTGGATTTGGTCCATGTTAAGGGTCTTTCCTTTTCAATGCGTGATAAAATTACATTATCTGATAACTTTGGAATATGAATAAAGTTTAAAATTAAAGTTACGTAATTGGATATAGTTTATTGTCAATATAAAACATTTTTCAGTCTTAAGACAGCAAAGTCGTTGGAAGCTGTTTGGCTGTATATTATAGCTTAAGCTGGTTTCCTATGATGGGTTTCACATTAGTAGCCGTATAGATTGATGGAAATTAAAGAAAATACTGTGGTTAAGTGACTAGAAATAATTTGAATGATAACCTTAGGTTACCTATTTTTTATGTTCCCAGCTGCAAGTAATTCAGTGTATTGATGTGGCAGAGCAGGCCTTGACCGCCTTGGAGATGTTATCACGTAGACACAGTAAAGCCATTCTACAAGCGGTAAATGTTGTTACCAAAGCACTATATTTCATTTAATGTTGGATTTTACACTCACATTTGTAGCAGCTCCTAGATTGTAATCTCTGTAAGATATTAGACTTTTTAATTGCTCATAAAGAGTATTTCAGGGGAGAAAAAAAAGAGACATCTATAATACTCTTTTAATACTTTAAGCAATAAAACAATTAAAAAATACAAAAAAAGAGTATTTCTTCACTTTAACAGTTTTCTGTATTTTAGGGTGGTTTGGCAGACTGCTTGCTATATCTAGAGTTCTTCAGTATAAATGCCCAAAGAAATGCACTAGCAATTGCAGCCAATTGCTGCCAGAGCATCACGCCGGATGAATTTCATTTTGTGGCAGATTCCCTCCCATTGCTTACCCAAAGGCTAACCCACCAGGTAAAATAGAACCTACTTTATGTGTCAGACACATTTTTATTACGTTTTTTAAATGTCAATTTTAGCCGGGTTTTAAATCTCTATCAACTGGATGTATAAGTAAGAAATGTTGTCAGATCTATGATTTTTCCTATGTTAACCCAGTTTCACTTACCATGTTAAGTATTTTATAAATGTTGGTAGATTTATGCAAATGAACAGTATTTGATATGCTTGATATCTTCAACTATTTTACTTAAGGGATGAATTTGTTATTTTAGCAAAAATTGAATGTTTACTATGTGATGTGATCAGAATTTCCTTTTGGAAAGATTACTCTTTCCTGGAAGGCATTTGAGACAAGACTGGGGGGACAAGATTAGGATAGAGACTGGACATGTCCTGAAAGGAAAGGAAATGGAAAATGTAGACTGAGGCTCTCTGGGGAGAAGAGCAGGAGCAGTTATTTAGCAGATAGAATCAATAGACCTGATGATGCAGTATGAGAATTGAGGCTTACAGAGACTGCGGTGGAGGACAGATCATGAGTTAACTTTCAACTCAAGGTTGTAGAGAAATGTATTTCCTTTTAATATAAATGTTTTAAAGTATGATTGCTGTAATAATGATTATTGGATCACTCTGGAGTGCTTCTCTTCTAAGGTGATCAAGACACAAGTAATACCATTCATTTCTTTATTTTTAAAAACTTACTAGGCTAAGATAACTTATGTGGTTAGAACATAGAAGTATGTTCTTTAGGTAGCTGTGATTTCAGGTCTTATTTTGGAAGTAGGCATGACAGTCAGAGAAGTTAAAAAGTTGGCCACTATTGTAGCACTTTTTTTAGACTTAAGTAGTGACAGTGAAGTAGGTGTAGAGCTTTTGTAATACCAGAATTCTCTCATTTTCACACAAGTAAGCTTAATTATCACATTGTAAGCCCATTTATTAGGAAAAACAAGTTCTTTCACACTTGTCATTAAATTGTTTCTTTTGTTCTTATGTCACTTATTTAAGATGTTTTCTCAATTAAGCCACTCTAATAGTATTTTCGGATTGTTTTTAATGTGAATATAAAATCTATAAATAGTTTTTCACAATATCAATAAACCTCTGGTTCACACACATTTTTAACTTTTTAGTGTATGCATGTTTTAAATATTTCTACTGGGAATGCTTTTTAGGATGATAGGATTTTTTATTATAAAGTTTTTAGATATTAAAATTACAGAAGTACACTATGGAGTCGTATAATAAAGGTTTATCCATATCTGATGCACAGATGATCTGACCCTTTTCCTCTTCCTCAACCTCCCACAAATAAAAACACAAATGAGTTAAATAAATGAAATAAAATTACAGAAGTATAAAAGTTGTTCCTCCTTTTCTGTATATTTGCTTTTATCTATTGGGGCCTTAATGGAGGAGAGAGTTTCTATCAGTATGATTCTCTTTACTTTAAAATCATATTATTGGTTGTACTTTGCTTAGGCCCATTGCATTTTCAGCCAGCCTTCAAGAGTTTTGGGTTAAGAAGAAGATAAGGTAGTGATGCATGACAGTGAGAATGTTGTATATTAATAAACTTTATTTTTCTTTATTAAAAATTAGGACAAAAAGTCAGTAGAAAGTACTTGCCTTTGTTTTGCACGTCTAGTGGACAATTTTCAACACGAAGAGGTGAGCATTTAGTTCTTGGTGTTATTTTCATAAAGTCATTGCATTGCTAAATCACAATATAACAATTTCTTTTTTTTTTCCTTATGTTTGAAGAATTTACTCCAGCAGGTTGCCTCCAAAGATCTGCTTACAAATGTTCAACAGCTATTGGTTGTAACTCCACCAATTTTAAGTTCTGGGATGTTCATAATGGTGGTTCGCATGTTTTCTCTGATGTGTTCCAACTGTCCAACTTTAGCCGTTCAACTTATGAAGCAAAGTAAGTGGTATTTTATTATTCTACTTTAAGCAGGAGAAGTAACTTTAAAAAAAACAAAACTAATAAGTAAAGTCAACATAAGTCGAGCAAGTAAAAGATTGCTAATGTCATAGGGACTGTATAATAAAGGAAGAAAAATATTGTCTAATTGTGTTAAGACAGTGTATCAATGCTTCCTACATATGATTTTTAAAGTATATAATATAATAAAAAAATTTTCCTTGTGGTTCCAGGGCTTAAGATCTGTACAGTATCAGTTATGTAATATTTATTAGATTTTCTAGCAGTTCATCTGATTATAGAATGCTTTTATTCTCCCCGAAAAAGTTTCAAGTTATACAGATGAATGTCACTGATCTTAGTTACTTTAGTATTTCTGAGCCTTTCCCATCCCCACTCAGTATGTAGGAAATAAAGTTTTATTGCACTGCTATTACAGTTTGCTCTCACTTTCTTAACCCTTAGATTTTACAAGTTAATGTGTGAAGATAACAGAATTTAAAAAATATATTTGATTATTGCTTGTAGAGTATTGGTCACATTTGTATGAAACACCTATAGTTGTGGGTAACTTCATATTTGTAGTTCTAATCTCTGAAGGTGTTACCTTGGGAGTTAGGGGTGATACACACTAATAAAAGAGCCCTTGATCCCACTGCCTCAGATAGACTGTTGAGTTGTTTAATTTACTAAGTAGTATAATTTAAACTGCTTTTTGAAGGGAAACTCAGTTTTATTTTTAGTTTCATTACTTGTGAATTAGTGCATTGGCACATAATTTTTCAGAAAAGTAGTGTTGCTGGGTGATTTATTGATAATATTCCTCTTAAATCATTGATATATCCCCAAACTTGGCATTCCAGGAGCATTGTTTTTCTTTTGCTATGAGCAAAGTGCTCTCTGCCTAGATAAGTCTGGGGAAAGTTTAAATAGCTCCTTTTTTTGATGTAGTCACAATATACTTCGCTTATTAAAATCCCTAGGAGTTCTTTGAATATTACCTAGCCTACCATTTTCTGAAGTTTGGGTACAGATTATCTCTTATTACTATGGGGCACAGCATTTCCCTAAATATTGGTTTGGGAAATTGCTGCCTGACTTTTGTTTGTTTAAATATGGATATTTTTCTTTTAATATGATAAATATTTTCACCTCTTTTGCATACTTCAGGAAGTTTACCACACCTTCATACTATAGGGGCTGCTAGATATATTTTCTTTCTATAACAGTAAAACAATGAAAACATGAATCTGATCTTTTTTTAAAAAGTAAAGAATCCTTGTGTGACATTGCCATGTATTCACATTTCTTTGGGAAGTTGGCAAAATGACTTTTTCAAGAAAAGTTTAAACATTTTCTTTACTATTTGTGAAATTTCTATGAGGCAGAGATTGCCTCTCTGCCCAAATCAATGGTGAATACTTTCCTTGACAACAGATCTTACTGATTACTGGCAAAACATTTCACTGAAATGTTTATATATATTTTGTCCTGTATGTAGTATGTGTATAAATGCACACACCACAACCAACAAAAAGCCAGCCTGTTTTCAGGTTGTTGCTGTTAGATGACTAAACTCTGTGGAGGCTGAAAACTCTCCACTCACACTGTATATTAAACTGGCTTATGCAAATTCTTCCATAAAATGGTGTCTCCTGGGAATGGAAATCTGTGGTAGACAATAATTTTAATGATTTTGCCCTTTGATGGCATGCATGCTTAATATTATATAAGAAAATATGGTAAGATTCAGATGTTTTTAATTGGTTTGTTTTATCCTATTGGCCACACATTTTCAGTTTATTTGAATTGAAGACAAGTATACAAAATACTTAAATTGAGGGTTATAACACATTGAGTGTACTTTTGTACAAAGCACTGTGTTCCTTCCTCAAAGAAAGTAATAAAAAATTCCTAAAGTTTCTGGGTGGATTTGTGATTAGGTGTCCAGCTAGAAGATTAGAACTCAAACTGAAGTCCTCAGAAAGAAATTGTTACAGTTTTTAGAAAATTTTCTTAAGTATTTGTTATACCTCATTTGGATCTTTTACTTTAGCTTCAGTAGTGTATTGCTCAAGAAGAAAATAAATTTTCCCTCCTAGGGAATGATTGCCTTTTAAAGTAGATAATATTATCTAATGAACAAAATAAACAAAATAGAAACATATTCATAGATACAGAAAACAGACTGACAGCTGTCAGAGGGGAGGGGGCTTAGTGGACTAGGCGAAATAGGTAAAGGAAACAAGGAGGGGAAATCATAGGCACAGACAACATAATGGTGATTACTAGAGGGAAAAGGGGGTGGGGGAGGTAAAAGTGGTTTAAAAGGCTGATAAATGGTGATGGAAAGATAATTTGACTTGGGATGGTGAACACACAAAGCAATATACAGATGATGCATTATAGAGTTGTACACTAGAAACCTATATAATTTTATTAACCTATGTAAGTAACTCAATAAAGTCAATAAAAAATAAAGTGGGTAATATAACTAGTTTCACAGGCTTTTGTTTTTTGTTGTTGGTTTTACAGACATCGCAGAAACACTTCACTTTCTCCTGTGTGCGATATGGCAGTGGCGTGATGACCGGGGCCTTTGGCATCCCTATAACAGGATAGACAGCCGAATCATTGAGGTAGTAGTTTCATTGTACTGTTTAAATGTGTCTATTTTGGTGGCGAGAGGGTGTAGGGATGGAGTGGGTAGGGTGAATATGTGTGCTTAAACATGCTCAATTTTGAATTAACTCAAAATTTTCTCATTTTGTCTCCTGAGAAGAAGGTCCTCATTTCTGTTCAGGTCAGAAAACATGATGTTGTAGTCCTGCTTCTGCTGCTAACTACCTGATTGACTTGGAGCAAGTAATTTAAGTTCTTTGTTCCATAGTTTCCTCATTTCTGAAAGGAAACATTTGAAGAGTTAGGCTATATATTTCTAAAAGTCCATTTTATCTTCTATCCAAAAGAAGTCTCTCAAAAGTAGAGATTTACATAAAAATAGATGTTTCTCAATATTTTTAAGAGCAAAAATGTGGAAACAAATTTAAATACCTATCTCTAGGAGATTGATTAATAAACTCTGACACATGCATAGGTTCATATATAATCCAGACATTAATGGGATAAATTTTATGGCCTAATATAGGATATAAATGAAAACAATATTCAGAATTATGTGACTCTTTTGGGAAATAAGCAAAATAAGAGAAAAGAGGCATAATAAATACATAGGAAAGAAATAAACCAAACTAGAGATTTTTTTGTGTGTGTGTGAGATTTTATGTGGGATTTTATTCTTATTTTCATACTTCCATATTATGTTTGCACTGAAATATTTCAAAAATTTCTCAGGTCAGGAAAAATTTGCCCTCATTTAGGAAGTGTTGGTAACTGTTGGCATCGCATCTCAAATATGTGATTGTCAATATGTGATTCCTTTAAGTGTCAATATAATTTCTAATTTCAAACTGACATTTGAATTTTTAGAACATCACCCTTAAACATTCTTTAAAGATGTCTTCCAGTTAGTTTCTAAAAACGGATTTTTTTAAAACTTCGAAACTAATGACATGTTACAAAATCAAAAGTTCTTATAAAAATATCTAAATTCAGAGTTAGCTTTTATGAGGAAGTTACGTATGACTGACTGCTCTTTTATGCATTGTTAGCCTTAGTGTACAAGGAGGTCATGTTCTCTAATTCTAAGCATTCTTCTTTTTAGCGTTTTTCCAGTAATTGCATCTTCACTTTCTATCTTGTATTTCCTAAGTGTCTTGCCTTCCATTCAACATAGAAATTCCATAGTTTGAACTGTTATAAGAATGAATATTTTGCCACTTATTAGGCTGTCTAAAATCCAGCAGACAGTGTGAATCAGACTGTCTTAGTCTACAAATGTACTGTATAATGCCTGCAACTCCTAGGGATCAGGATTACTCTGTTAATTCGAGTTGTGTCTTAGACCATCATTTAAATGGAAATTCTTGTTTACCTAAGGATAATTTTATAGAATCATTTTGTTTAAAGTAGGATTTCATTGGGTTAAGAATTTATGATGTAAATAACTTTATAACCTAAGAACTAGATACTAAGACTTCCCGATAACACATTTCTTTTTTTCTATCAGCAATGTTTTAGGAGCTTTCTTAATACAAATGATGTCTTCATGTCAGTGATTCTACATGACTGGATCCTTAATCAAGATTTTTATCTATTTTTATGTCTTGGGGAACCTGATAGGGCTGTGGTATATATTTATGTTTAATTGAGAATGATTTTAATTGAGTTTTGTCATATTCACACTATTACATTTAAGTTAGTATTTATGGAGGGTCCCCACTGTGTCTTAAGTTAATAAAGTTCTCCATGTTTATATTCAAGGTTTCTCTCTCTTTGCTCTCAGGCAGCCCATCAGGTCGGTGAGGATGAGATAAGCTTGTCCACTCTGGGACGAGTTTATACTATTGATTTTAATTCTATGCAGCAAATCAATGAGGACACGGGAACAGCACGTGCCATTCAGAGAAAACCTAACCCCTTAGCCAATACTAACACTAGTAAGTGCCTTTATTAAACTTAAGTAATTAATTTGTTGTTTTTATCATGTGCTTTACCTGACAGATAAGCCAGTATTTCTTAACTGGTATCTTCCCTATGATCTTTTTACTTATGTGATTTGCAGTATCCTGGCATCTGATCGGAATTGTCCTGTTTAGGGTTTTTTTGTTTGATGTTGTTTTGATTTTATCTGATTCTGTTTCACTATTCTACCTTTAGATCCACCCACACCTGTCAGGTTAATTCTTTCCAATCTTTGATTCTATATATTCCCACCAAAATTTTCTTTTTAACGAATGAAGAATAGACAACTGTGACACACACACACACACACACACAGATTTCTGACATTTATTCCTCTCAGGGATTTAATCCATTGCTTTTAAAGCACTAGCTTAAAGTACAGAGAGTCAGCAAACTTTATCTAAAAAGGGCCAGATAGTAAATATTTTAAACTTTGCAGGCCATATAGTCTCTGTACTTAACACTGCTATTGTAGCTCCAAAACAGCATATACAGTTATATTAGCAAGTCTACATGCTTGTGTTCCAGTAAAATCTTATTTACAAAAATAGGGGATGGGCAAGATTGGGTCTCTGGACCATTCTTTGCCAACCCCTTGGTCTTGAGCTTACTTTTCATCAGTTACCTTTTATTTACACCTTATTCCCTCTAAGCAAACTGACAGATTACCTTGTTTTTCTGTATCTTCTAACTAAATATTCACTATTTATTTCTTACCGATGGTTTAGTTGTTTTATGCTGAAATAATCCCAGTCTTTTGTTAAACATACTTAGTGAAATAACAGGCATAGTATATTGGTGCCTTGTTCTCTTCAGCTGGCCCAAAGGGTGAGTAGTTTTTCTAGCTGGCTAAATTTTGTCTTCATGATTCCGTTGTTATCTTTCTAGACTCCAGTTCATCACATTAGATGTGTTGATTTGTTTTATGATTAGATATGTTTTAGCATTTCAAGTAGTTACATAGGCTTGAATGCTTTAAATACTGTTTGTTTCTGAAATCTGTAACTATAGGATTGAACATTTTTTATAACAGGTGGATATTCAGAGTTAAAGAAAGATGATGCTCGAGCACAGCTTATGAAAGAGGATCCGGAACTGGCTAAGTCTTTTATTAAGACTTTATTTGGTGTTCTTTATGAAGTGTATAGTTCCTCAGCAGGACCTGCGGTCAGACATAAGTGCCTTAGAGCAATTCTTAGGATAATTTATTTTGCTGATGCCGAACTTCTGAAGGACGTCCTAAAAAATCATGCTGTCTCAAGGTGTGTTCATGAAAATAGTGAAAACATTTTAGAAATTCAAGTTGCTACAAGTAATATCTGAAATCTTTAAAGTATATGTAATATAGAAAAAAATGTGTATTTGGAGTATCTTGAGCCCTTTGTTTTAATTACACTTTAATATTATTACACACTATAATAAAAACAAAAGTTGAGCTTTTAAGAAAAGTTTTTGTTTTAGTAGACTGGTTTCATGATTAAAATATTTTTCTCCCCAATTTAAAGTAGTATGACCAAAAATACTTGCCAAATTCAGACATGTTTTATGTACAAATGTGTTTTTTGGGGTTTTTTTTAGCCACATTGCTTCCATGCTATCAAGTCAAGATCTGAAGATAGTAGTTGGAGCCCTTCAGATGGCAGAAATCTTAATGCAGAAGTTACCTGATATTTTTAGTGTTTACTTCAGAAGAGAAGGTAATGTCATTTATGATTATTTTTTTAGTCTGAATAGTATTTTAACAGTAGATCAGAACAGTTGTAAAGGGATTATTTTATACTTCATTGTATAGTTATTGGAATATTTTAAGGCAATACTCCAGTTGGAATCTTCAGAATGCAATTAGTCCAGTCCTCTAATTGGAGGAATTTAAATGTTAAAATCAGCCCAGGAGACATGATACTTTTCCATTTTCTTTTTGAAGACCTCATAGATGAAGCTGTGTCACTCATTCAGGTTTTATCCTTTTAAAACCTGCCAAGATATTCAAAGAAGTACTTTCTCATCAACAGAAATCTCTTGATGGCTCTTTTGGTCTTTTAGGATACTTTAGTCTTGTGTGAGGGTACAGAAAATAATGGTATTTCCCCCTCAAGTAATTTTTAGCTTTGTTTTCTAACTTACCAACAATCCTGGTTCTTTTTGCGTATGATCTATTTTCCATTTTTTGAGCACCTTTGCTGGATTAATATTCACAGCTTAAGAATGCAATAGACAAAAAGTCCAATGCCACATATTAACATGAAATAGAAGGTAGACTCGCGCCACTTCCCAGAGATAATATCCATAGTTAACAAATCAGGAGTATGTATAAATTGATGTTTTCCATGCTCATATAAACATTTGGCATGTGTTTTTGTTTTTAGCCTTAGGTTATCCTGTATTTTGCAATCTGTATTGTGTTTTTGGTCTATATTTTTGTTGTTTGCTTTTCAGTTCCACTTTTCTGATTTGGAAGTATATCAGAATTAGACTATTTTTTTCCAGGGTGATTTTTGTTTTACTTTGATATGATCAATTATGCCATTATATTGAGTCTTCTTCCCCTAATAGCATATATATCATGTTTATTGGGGAATCTTGGTTGTTTCTAGTGCTTTGCATCCACCGTTCTTTGAGGTTTCACTTATATATCACTTATTTATGAAGATCTTTCTTTACATCTGTAAGATTCCCCTATTTTATGTTGCAACAGCACCATATTTTTCCTCTCATAAGCAATTTATTCTTTATTTGCAATATCTTGCAAATTATGTCTTTCCCACTAGTCAGTAAGTGCCCTGAGTTCATTTTTTATATCCATGGCCATACTATTTCTTTAGTACCCAGAGTCTAGCACAGGGGTGGGCAAACTTTTTGACTTGAGGGCCACAATGGGTTCTTAAACTGGACCGGAGGGCCAGAACAAAAGCATGGATGGAGTGTTTGTGTGAACTAATATAAATTCAAAGTAAACATCATTACATAAAAGGGTACGGTCTTTTTTTTTTTTTTTAGTTTTATTCATTTCAAACGGGCTGGATCCAGCCCGCGGGCTGTAGTTTGCCCACGGCTGGTCTAGCATATGATTGCCACAAGTATTTGTGAAATAAATGCCTGAAGTTTGAATTAATTTGGACATCCTTTTTTTTTTTTTTTTTTAAGAATGTGAGGGAAAGCTCTGGACTCTTTCCGCAAAAAAAAAATGTGAATATGTGAACATGCACTCACATGCATTCAGACAAACATCATTGCATACAATTTTATTGTTCTTGGACCATCCCCCATGTACATCTTCCCATGATCCTAGCCTGGCTACAACCCCTGCCATATGAGTTACTGTTTAGCTTTCCTATACACTTCCAAGGGTGTGAAGTCTTCTTTGCCTTTCCATATCTGGTGGTCTACTTTTGGCAGCAGTGTTACTGAGAGCTTGTCTCATTGTAGCATTTGAATTTAACTAATGATTGTAGTTCTTTACTCCCTTTCTGATCAAGCCCCACAGGTGCACTTTGTTTCTCTAATTGATTATTACTTATTTTAAATTTCTAGTGGGACTTTACTTGTGACCCTATTAAATTTTCTGTGTTTGCTTTTTGAATATTAGAAGACATTCAATATAAATTTCTTTAATTTTGATGTTGCCTACTACTTTTCTAAATGGAGTCAAGTTGTAAATCCTGGC